CCTGGTCTCGGACGTAGGCCGCGTGGCCGAGAAGTGGAGGCGCCACCAGGGCTCCAGTGTGCTCGCGAGGGCCCACGCCTTCAGCCCCGCTGAGCCCCATCAGGATGTCGCCGACCATGCTCCTCCTGCCGCGTCGCTCCCTGCTGCTGTTGCGTCGTCGTCGACTACGTCTGGCTTCTTGGAGGTTCCCGAGGCAGTCTTTGGGTTCGACGGGTGGAAGACGATCCATTCGAGCAGGCACACACGGCTTGGGTGTGATATTTTGCAGTATGAGGCTGAGGCCTTGGGTTTCAGCATTCACCATGCCTCGAGGACCCTCGGAGTCCATCATCATCGCATGCTATTCCTCGTTGACAACTTGGCTCTAGCCCTCGCGGTGGGCAAAGGGCGGTCGGGCAGCCCGCGCCTCGTGCGCGCCCTGAGGCGGCTCTCTGGCGTCACTTTGGCATGCGGGCTGCGGCTGCTGGTCCGATGGGTGCCCTCTGAACGGAATGTCGCCGACAGGCCGTCGAGGGAGGGCTTCTTCGTCGGGCCGAGCTTCGAGGACTTCCTGGAGGGGCAAGTCGCGCGGCGGCCTCGTCGGGCCCAAGGAGGTGATCAGGACTGCGAGGGCTCGGAAGACCCACCCTGGGCCCTCCAGTCTCTCGCGAGGGAGTCTCTCAGTGCCAGGGGCGTCAGCCGTCTCGGCCTCCACGGGCAGGTGCTACCACGATCGCGCCCAGAAGTTTCCGAGCTGGTGCCTGTGGACCGCTGGACTCCTCCTGCTCCGTCGACCTCGGCACCGCGCTGGCGGTGCACGTCGTGCATCTGTTCCTGTACGGGTACGACCGCGCGACGGGCCGCGCCAAGCTGGCCGCCCTGAAGTGCCAGCCCCCCTCGATGCTGGTCGGGAGTCGGCCGATGCCGCGGGCAGTTCGGGCGCTGCAGGGGGGGGCGCAGTTCGCTCAGCCCCTGATCCGCCATCAGCTGCCTCGGGTGGCGATGTTCGCGACAGTGGGCGTCCTCCTGGCGCAGGGCCGCCTGTCCGAGGTGGACTTCGTGCGCCTGGCCTTCGACACGTGCCTCCGCCCGAGGGGGCCCCACCGCCTCGCGGCCGCCTCGTTCCTTGCCCCGCGGGTCGGGTCGAAGGAAGGCTACCAGCTCTGGGCCAGCCTGGTCAACGAGGCAGCCAGCGGCAGGCCTGGTCAGACGGGGGTGACCGACGTGAACGTGATCGTGAACGACCCGTCGCGGCCGCCCTCACCCGCGCTAGTGTTCTTCGGCGGCCAGGTCGGGGCCAGGCTGCTACAGCTGATGGAGGTGACGGCGAGGACGGGCCCCCCCCCGCTCCGCCCGCCGCCCCTGGTGCCCGCGTCGGCGCCGGCTGCAGAGAGGACGGCGCCCACGCTGACCGATCGGTGGAGGTTCGACTGAATAGGCTGTGGCGGCGTGCCCGTTTGCGCGCATCTGTTTTGCCGTACTTCGTTACATTGTGTATCTGCGTGCCGCCTCGTGTTCGATTGGCCTGCGAGGATCGCGGGCTAGGAACAGTGGCCATCAACCTTGCCAGACATCGTGCAGAGGACGCCTTGGGTCCTCGCGTGTTGCAGACGCAGACGCTGCTGGGCTGGGTGCGATCATCGGCCGTCTCAGGGCTGTGGGCGTCCTTGCCGTCTGCGACTTGGTCCTCCAGCGGCGCTCGATGCCGCCGCCTGGACGCCCCGCTTAAGGGCGTCAACCGTGACGACACCGATCTTCGCGCCATTCGCGTGGCCCACGCCCTAGCAGAGTCTGTCTTTAAGTTGATTCGTGAGTGCACGGCTCGTCAGGTGCCCGTGATTTTCTGGCACCCAGAATCAAGCCTGATCTGGCGACATCCGCTCCTTTCCTCGCTCCTCGCCTCTGCCTCCTCTTCTTGCTCTCTCGACTCCTGCATGTTCTCGGGTCGAGTTCGGCAGAAATTGTGTTTGATCGGATGGGGCGTCCGAGATCTCCATTGCCTGTCACGCCGTTGCCTCTGCACCCTAGGCCTGTGTGACCGTACTGGCCGCCGCCACCTTGGCGGCCTAGGGCGTCCTTCGCTGGATGCCGTTGCACGTTGATCCGCCCGTGGGCTTCCCTTTCAGGTAGCCGCTGCAGGCACTGACATGATAGTGGCCGCTGCTAGGCAATTATCTCGGGCCGCTAGATACAAGAAAGTGTTTGGTCAATGATGTGCTGCGGCTGTGGCCACTTGCTGGGACTAGCGTTAGTTACCGAGTCTGTGCTTCGAGGCTGGCCGTTGCTCTCGTGCGCCGTCGCCCTTCTGCACAAAAAGTACCCGATGGCCTCGAGAGAGCCCCACATGCAGCGACTTGTCGGCATTTGTGGGTTTGCATGTGGCCGCACCTCCTTGCTCAAGTTCTTCCCTGGGCCCGCCCGCCCAATTTGAGCCGAAGTTTAACTGTTTTGTGCTTCACTGACCGAGTCTGTGCTTCGAGGCTGGCCGTTGCTCTCGTGCGCCGTCGCCCTTCTGCACCTAAAGTACCCGATGGCCTCGAGAGAGCCCCACATCATCATCATCATCAGCAGCAGCAGCATCAGCATCAGCATCAGCATCATCATCAGCATCATCATCAGCATCAGCCTCATCATCATCAGCAGCATCATCATCAGCATAATCACCACCACCACCATCATCATCATCGTCGTCATCATCGTCATCATCGTCATCATCAGCATCGTCATCATCGCCATCATCGCCAACATCGTCATCATCATCATCATCAGCAGCATCATCATCATCACCATCATCACCATAAACAGCAGCATCATCATCCTAATCCTTCCTCTCCTCCTCCTCCTCCTCCTCCTTCTCCTTCTCCTCTTCCTCTTCCTCTTCCTCTTTCTCCTCCCCCTCTTCCCCCACTGCCTCGTTCTGCTTGACAACCCTGGCCAGCATGGGCCCTGCTAGGGGTCCAGGGACGAATCTTGAACGGACTTCGATCGGGAGGAGCTCATCCTCTTTCTCCGCAGGCAAAATCCGGGGCTCCCACAAGGGTGGGGGTCGTTCACGTACCGTGTACATGCATGCGCGCACTGCAGGTCTTACACATCTTGCCCTGTGCTGATGTGCGTAGGTGTCGAGTGCAGATTCGGCCCACGGCCCGATGCAGGTCCTGTCTTGTCCTGTCATACCCTCTTCCTTCCTTGGCCTTCGGCGTCCCTCTCATCGCCACAGCTGTACGCGGCTCGGAGCATGTTCAGGGCAGTGCCGGGAGGGGTCCAGGGATAGTTTTTTTGGCAGATTCCTGGCCAGGGGTGCAATGATGATCTGTCTCCTCTGCTCTTCCCTTTACCATTCTCTTCCTCGTATGCTCCCCCGTTGCCCCTTTCGCCCTCCTCCTCCTCCCCCTCCTTCTTCTGATCATGAAGAGGGATTTGTTTACCAAGCATTCCTTGCGAAGCAGACCCGGCGCGGGTATTCTTTGCTCGTCGTCGTCAGCTGCTTATTCAAGAGGATTGCGCCGTTCCGCGGATCCCCCAGAGGCGGATATGTGCGGAGGAGGAGGAGCTGGAGGAGGAGGAGGAGGAGGAGGAGGAGGAGGAGAAGGAGGAGGAGCTGGAAGAGGAGGCGGAGGAGGAGGAGGAGGTGGAGAAGGAAGAAGAGAAGGAGGGGAGGAGGAGAAGGAGGAGGAGGAGGAGAAGGAACTGTTTTTTTCCCGCTCTCCGTCGTGCGGCCTGTGCGCAGCTGCTGCTGAGATTTGTCCTCCTCGTCCTCCGCGTCCAGTGCTGGGCTCCCTTGGGGGCCTCTTGGAGGCCTTCGGGGCGGCCTCGTTGGATCTCTGCAAGGCTCCGGGGCTCCGTGGGGCCCCTCTTAGGGGCTTCTTCTTGGGGGCCTGTTGTCTGTACACATTGTTAATTTCTGATTCTTTGAAAATACTTTGATTTTTTGGGGGGCCAAGATCCTTTCATTCCTAATTGTTCTATCCTGGGCCTCTTCCTGGCAACTAGGGGTCCAGGAACAATTAGAAACGAGCGTAATTAGAAATGAGTCCGATTAGAAATGAACGACGTGTATGTGTGGGGTCTTGGGGACCATCTTGCGGGGGAGGGCGCCTGGGGTCTCTCGGAGCTTTGAGGGCCTCTTGGGCAGTCTTGGGGCCTGCCTGGGCTGTCTCTGGGGCCCCTCTTGTGGCCTCTTGGGCCGGTCTCGGATGCCTCTCGGGCCGTCTTTCAGGCGATCGCCAACATGGATCAAGGGGGCGTGGATTAGCGACGGGTCCCGTTTCCATGGGAAATCGCGGATTTGCGCCACCGAGCAAGGCGGCACCGGCCGCATTTTGGGGGAGGGCACCTCCCCCGATCCATGCATTTGGCGACCGCGCGCCAGATCCAAGGATCGCTAATCCATGTTTGCGCGCCCCCGAGTTTTGGGCTCTCAGAAGCTTTGAGGAGCCCGAAGGGCCGAGGGCGCGACCATAGTGCAAAAACGTTGATTTGGCAATCTAATGATCTTGCTTCTTGTGGCCCTCTTGGGGTGTCTTGGGGGCCTCTTGCTCGGGCCGACCTGAGGCCGTCCTGGGTGTCGTTGGGGCCACTCTGGCGTGCTGCTGCATGTCTTGAGGCATCTTAGAAGGCATCTTGGGCGTCTTGGAGGCTGGGGAGGGTGGATTTGGATGCTCTGGAAGTGTGTCGGTGAGCTCTTGTGGGACCCCCCCTTCAATCAGATTTTGGACCCTGGGGGAGGGGGGGGGGAAAGGGGAAAGGAGATAACCAGATGTCTCACACGCCTTTTCACGAATGGCAAGCGGAGGTCGGCGGATTTTCTCCATGTCAGACTCTCTGGACCGAGTCCCAGGGGCCTAGCCAGTGTCGTTGTCTATACACGTTTATGTGGGCGCTTCCCCAACACAGTTTCGTCGTCGTCGTCTTCTTACTCTTATGTTTATCATGATTGGTATTATTTCTTATTATTTGTCGCCGTCGTCTTCCTCCCCGTCTTTATCTCCTCCTCTTGTGTTCTGCCGCTGCCATCCCAGGATAACGAGCCCACCCGCGGGCCCCTGGCGGCAGCCTTGGCAGCCGCGCGCTTCATCTGAGCCCCAGAGCGAGCCACGCTCTGGGAGTCGATTCGGAAGTCTGAACTCGGACTGTCGCGGCGAGGTGCTGCAGTACAGACTTCTCTCCAGCGTAGGACTCGCAGTGCTTGCCCGCATTGGCTTGCCCGCATTGGCTTGTCTTCACTCCCGTTGGGGGGCTGGACGCGCCGCGAGATGCCAGGGTGTCCTTCTGGCAGCCTCGCGGCAGCTACGCGCAACCAGGTCCCAAGGGAAACCCATACGTACCTGCACAGCATGAACAAACATGCTGTACGTAGTTTCGGCAGCACCCTTGCCAGAAGTTTAGGTGTTCCGATAGCAGCTGATCTTGTGCGATCCACGCGCGCGTCCGCCCTCTGTCATGCGGTTGATAAAGCATCGGAAGCATCTGCGTCTCTTCGGTTTGGTTCGCGAGGGACCTGGGCTGTCGAGACGAAGGCGCCCCAGTTTTATGGTATGGCGAGTGCGCTAAGCGGTCTCAGCGAGGTGCTGCATCTGGGCAGAGACATCATGAACATGTGAGACGCTTCGCGCATCCCCGCCAGCCACCCAGAAACGATCCCCAGGCGAGTCGCCCTGAACAGAGAAGTGTTGGGAGCACGGGGACAGCCGTTACCCGTAATCTCGGGATCAGCCTGAGCAGGCCTTGGAGTGAACTGTGTATGCATTTGCGGCCATGTCGAATGATAACACGGACGATGAGGAGGCGGAGCCGGAGGAGGGAGGAGGAAATGGAGGCGGAGAAGGAGGAGGAGGAGGGATGAGGACGAATAATAACAAAACGAAGGAGGAGGAGGAGGAGGAGAAGGAAAAGGAGGAGGAGTAGGAGGAGGAGGAGGAAAAGGATAATGACGTGGAGGAGGAGGAGGAGGCGGAGGAGGAGGAGGAGGAGGAGGAGGAGGAGGGAAAGGAGGATGGAAAGGAGGAGGAGGAGGAGCCAGAAGGATGGGAGCGAGCATAGAAGGGAACACGTTTGCACTCAATCTGTGGTGATCCCTTGGCGGGCGGAAGGGGAGGAACAGGTGGACAATGGGGAGAAGGACAGCAGGGATGAGGAGGAGGAGGAAAAGGAGGAGGAGGAGGAGGAGCCAGAGGGATGGGAGCGAGCATAGAAGGGAACACGTTTGCACTCAATCTGTGGTGATTCCTTGGCGGGCGGAAGGGGAGGAGGAGGTGGACAATGCGGAGAAGGACGGCGGGGAGGAGGAGGAGGAGGAGGAGGAGGAGAAGGAGGAGGAGAAGGAAGACGCGGAGGAAGCGGTGGGAGAATAACGACGAGGAGGAAGAAAAGGAGGAAGAGGAGGATAGGAAGGTCACGAATGACGACGACGACGACGACGACGACGACGACGACGACGACGACGACGACGACGACGACGACGACGACGACGACGACGACTACGACGACGACGACAGGAGTCGTACATCAAGGCCTTCGCGGGTCCTTCGCTTGGGACCATCGTGGGGCCTTATTGGAGCAATGTGTGAAGTCTTTGGGGCTCTCCCGGGACCCTCTTGGGGCGTTTTTGGGGGCCTCGGGGGTCATTTTGGAGGACATCACTTACGACCGAGGGCGGCGCGTATTAGGCCCGCGCCCTCCCCCCCCGTCGGCACGTAACAACTACTTATGGGGCCCTCTTGGAGCGCTCTCGTGATGGTCTTGGTAGCTCTTGGGGACGTCTTGGGGTACCCTTGGGCTGTCTCGGAACCATCTTGAGGCCTCAGACGCCAGTCGGAAGCGAAAAACGACAGGGCAACAATCATTCATGTCCACCGGCGTCGGAAGGAACTGGGACTATCGGGGGCGTCCTTGGGAGGCTCCGTGGCCACTTTAGATCACTTTAGGAGCCGTCTTGGCGCGCTTTGGGCGCCTCTTGGAAGCATGTGAGAGGCAAGATTCAGCCATCTTGGTAGATATTGCGCCATATTGGAGGCCATCTTGGGCTACCTGAGGTCACCTTGGATCAATATTGAGCCATCTTAGACGTCCTAGCGTATCGCTGACAGGGGGAGGACTTTCCCTCATAGGGCGGGCGAACCCCTCCAGTCGGCGCTCGAGCACGGGACTGGGGTGCCCGTGGTATGCCCGCGCTCCCAGACGGTCCCGAGAGGCCTCCAAGACGCCACAAGACAGGTCCAAGACGCCTGATATGGCTTCAATGCTATTACCCAGGAGGCACCAAAGACGCCCCAACAGGGCTTCAAGAGGACCCCCAAGAGAGCCCCAAGAGGCGAACATCTTCCAATTTTCTGGGGGAAGCGTGCATTTTTAGCATCTCATTTTTAGTTTGCTTTTGACAGCGCCCAAGAGTCCTGAGAGAGCCTTTAGGCACGGGGAGGGGTAAACCTGGATGGGGGGTTCAAAAACCAGACGGGCCTTTCAAAACATCGAGGGCTGCGTGTTTTTAGTGGCCCGGATGGTTTTTCAAGGGCGGTCCCGTGTTGTGGAAGGCCCAGACGGCTTGGGAAGGCCCCGTCCCGTGTTGCGGAAAGCCTGGACGGTTTGGGAAGGCCCAGCCGCGTGTTGCGGAAGGCCCGGACGGCTTGGGAAGGCCCCGTCTTGTGTTGCGGAAAGCCTGGACGGCTTGGGAAAGCCCGGCCACGTGTTGCGGAAGGCCCGGTCGGTTGCGGAAGGCCCGCCGTCGCGTTGTGGAAGGCCCAGACAGTTTGGGAAGGCTTGGGCGCATGTTGTGGAAGGCCCAGACGGTTTTGGAAGGCCCGTTCCCGTGTTGCGGAAGGCCCTGTCGTTTGCGGAAGGCCCGCCGTTGTGTTGCGGAAAGCCCGGACTGTTTATTGGCCCGTGCGCGTGTTGCGGAAGGCCCGGTCGGTTTGGAAAGGCCCAGCTCCGGACCCGATGGCCCTAATACCCAAAGACCCTATCCCTGAGACCCGAAGACCCGAAGGCCCGAAGACCCGAAGACCCGAAGACCCTAAGACCCGAAGACCCGAAGACCCGAAGACCCTAAGACCGTAAGGCCCATCGACCCTGAGACCCTAAGGCCCTAAGACCCTAAGACCTAAAGGCCCTGAAACCCTCAGACCCTAAGACCCTCAGACCCGCAGACCCCAAGACCTGAAGACCCGAAAACCCGAAGACCCAAGGCACTCGTACCCGCAGACCCGAAGACACGAACACCCGAAGACCCAAACGCCCGAAGACCCGAAGACCCCGAGCCCCGAAGAGCCGAAGACCCGATGGCCCGAAGACCCAAAGACCCGAAGACCCGAGAACCCGAACGCCCGAAGACCCGAAGACCCTAAGACCCGAAGACCCTAAAACTCTAAGACCCTAAGGCCCGAATACCCTAATACCCAGATACCCTAAGGCCTTAAGACCCTAAGACCATAATGCTCTGAGACCCTGAGCCCCGAAGACCAGGAGACCCTCGGACTCTGAGGCCCTAGAGTCCCAAAGACCCTAAGACCCTAAGACCCTAAGATCCTAAGACCGTGAGGCCCTAAGGCTCTAAGACCCTAAGACCCTGAGACCCTAAGGGCCCGAAGACCCGCTGACCCTAGGACCCGTGAGACCCGTGAGACTATTACACGTAAGACCCGTAAGACCCGTAAGATTTTGGGACCCTAAGACCCGAAGACTCTAGGGCCCCGAGGCCCTAAGACCCTCAGACCCGAAAGCCCGAAGACCCTAAGACCCTAAGACCCTAAGACTATCAGGCCCTAAGACCCGAAGGCCCGAAGACCCGCAGACCCGAAGGCCCTGAGACCCAGAGACCCTAAAACCCTAAGACCTAAACGCCCTCAGACCCCCGGGCCCGAAGACCCTGAGACCCTAAGGCCCTAAGACCCTAAGACCCGAAGACCCTCAGACCCGAAGACCGGGATACCCTGAGGCCTCAGGGCCTTACGACCCAAAGGCCCTAAGACCCTAAGACCCTAAGATCGACCCTGCGACCCGATGGCCCGAAGACCCGAATACCCTAAGACCTTACGACCGTAAGACTTCAGGCGTCAAGACACTAAAAGCCTAAGAGCCTGAGACCCGAAGACCCGAAGACCCGAATATTATCAGGCCCTAAGACCCTAAGAGCCTAAGGTCCTAAGGCGTCAAGACCCCTAAAACCCTAAGACCCGAAGACCCGAAGACCTGAATACCAGACGGCCCGAGGACCCGAAGACCCGAATACCCTAAGACCCTAAGCCTCTACGAACCGAAGACCCCAAGACCCGAAGGGAGCTGTTTTTGTTTCGGGTTGAAAGGTTTTTTTTTTGGTTTTCGGCTCCAGCCCAACAAAAAAACCCGGCCTCCACCCGACAAAAAAACATCCGCGCTTTTTTTTCGGGTTGGCCGGGTTTTCATTTGAGTTGGGAGGGTATGTTTTTCGGGTTGGGTTTTTTTTCTCTGCGGATTTTCAGGGTGTTTTCTCGGGTTGGGTTGCTCGAGTTGGGTATTCGAGTTTTCGGGTTTCCGAGTGTTCAGGCCTTCGGGCCTTCGGCTGCTCGGGCCTTCGGGGTCGAGGGTTTCCGGTTTTTGCTGCTTTCGGCCCTCGGGCATTTGGGTGGGGTTACCTGGACTTCGGGTGTTCGGGTTAGTATTTCGGTGTTCGGGCTCGGGTGTTCGGGTCAGGTTGTTCGTGTTTGGGTATTTCGATTCGGTGTTGGGGCTCGGGTTTCGGCGTTCGGTTTCGGGTGTTGGGTTGATTCCGTTAGAGTCAGAACTGGGGGGGGGAGGGTTGGGCTTGAGGTGTCAGGGTCAGCGTTACAGGGTTCGGGTTCGTGTGCCAGGGTTAGGGCTTCGGCGAGCGGGTCAGGTACAGAGCATTAGGGCTAGGTTCCTGGGTTCGTCTGACAGGGCATTAGGGCTAGGTACCTCGGGTCCCAGCCGCCGCCTAACCCGTCCGCCTGTTAGGGTTCCGCCTTCCCGACCCGCCTTTCGCCCGTTAGGGTTCCACGCGTGCCACCTGGTACATGCGTCATAATGTGCAAATGCGTCATACTTTAATGTCCCGCCCGCCCGACCCGCCGCCCGTTCGCCGCCCGAGCCGCCCGCCCGTCAGGGTTCCCGCCTGCCCGAACCGCCGCACGACCGTCTGGGTTCCACGCGTGCCACTTGGTACATGCGTCACAATGTGTAAATGCGTCATACTTCAATGTCCTGCCCGCCCGACCCCGCCCGTCAGGGCCCTGCCCGGCGCCCGACCCGCCCGGCCGTCAGGGTCCCGCCTGCCGGACCCGCCGCCTGCCCGTCAGGGTTCCACGCGTGCGACCTGGCACATGCGTCATAATGTGCACATGCGTCAT